AGATAATAGCGTTAAACAATAACAGTTCGTAAAAATATTTCTAATCTCACAGAATTTTAGATCATTACAAATGTAGTCACATGACTGATCCAAACTAATTGATACAATTACACTACGTATAAGCTTTATCTTTATTTTTAAGTATGCTTAAAATCAAGAATTAAAAAAAAAACACATAAGAAGTCAATGATGATATATTTCAGTGCAACGTTTATTGATGGACTATTTCACATCCCGATTCAATCTGAATTATGTTTGCTGAGCTTCTAAAGGCAGGCCTGAAACCAACCAGATACCTCCTTGAGTCCTCTTCCCGATATATCCACAATAAGCATCAGATTTAAACACGCACAGAGAATGCTGTAGAATGAAAGACGAGATGAATTGAAAAAAAAAAAAGAAAATTTAAAAAGAATTGAATGCTTCACAATTTAAACTGCTAACGTTTTAAGATGTTTAGTCACGTGAATGAAAAGAGAGACAACTGAGTCGGACTCTGACTTCACGCCCTCTTGAGCCAGCAGGTGATTGTCTGTTCCTCTTGGTGCAAATACTCGTGTCTGACACCAAGGCCGCAGCCCAAAAGGTCAACCCGCTAATCGCGTCCATGTTTATTTGAAATGAGATTAAAAAAAAAAGTTTACGGTAAAAACGCAGCTGATAACGACAAGAGAAGTAGACATCTGCATGCTGCGGGTGTGGTGTGGTCTTACTGCGGGTGTGGTGTGGTCTTACTGCGGGTGTGGTGTGGTCTTACTGCGGGTGTGGTGTGGTCTTACTGCGGGTGTGGTGTGGTCTTACTGCGGGTGTAGTGTGGTCTTACTGCGGGTGTAGTGTAGTCTTACTGCGGGTGTAGTGTAGTCTTACTGCGGGTGTAGTGTGGTCTTACTGCGGTGTGGTGTGGTCTTACATACACCTAGTTTAAAGGCAGTCTGTTTCAACAGCATTAACAGAAAGCAGTTCTAATGGATCGCTGCTGGTCATGTGGTATGCGCTCTGGACTTTGGTGAGGTGGTTTCGATGGTTCGAACCCAGACCTTTGCCATTCCTCGTCGTTCTGCGGTAGATTAGGAAGCAATAATCTTCATATCTGAAGAAACATTATGAACATGTAAAAAAAAATAAAATTTACTAGCGCTAACCTTATTCCTATAATAACTAGGCACAAAGTATACTTATCTTCTTATCTTATACATTTTAGACGTTCCTTCTAAGCAGAAGATAATACGTCCAACCCGTATCCATTTGTAAATCCACTCAAAGGAAGGGTCGTGAATCGCAGACGATGAACTCTCCAGAAGTAGGAAGAAGGCTGAAAAAGCTGCAGTGTCTGGTGATTACAAATGCCCAACCTTTGACCGCAGCTGTGCATCAAGGATTGACCTCTTTAGTCATATAAGAAGCTGCAAATGGAATATATTGTCAGGTTCTTGTGTTCTAGTACTTATCAACCTATCATTAGATATTTCAAATGTGAAAATTTATTTAAAAATTAATATTATTTCAATTTGTGTTATTTTTATTATTTTCTGAACTTGTAATATTTTGACCCAAGTTCAGCCTGACAAGCACACCATACACATACAGTTGTATATTAAATTAATAAACTAAGTGTATGATATTAAATAACAATAAAAATTTATTCCAGTGATATATTTACAAATGAACTGATGTATGATGAATGATAATAGTAGTATCAATATCAATAGATATATGTGCAATAATATGTAATCTAAAATGATCCAGCTATTCTCTTTGCGACATATAAATGATCATTATTAGAACAATATCATTACCTTAATATATTCATTACAAGTTGTTCAAATAGACTTCCAACACAACAACTGGTAATCCACATAGATCTTGCCTCTAGATCCAATACTGTTCACTGACGACAATTCTAAAAGTTTATAGTTCATACTATAACATCAGGTCTGACCAAGGCAACCCGCAGTCTGAAATCTTGATCCTCAGACTCACGAAAAACCAACTTGAACACCAGACAACCAACTGAGATTAGTGAGATGAAGACCTCGGTCCTGTAGACTGTAGACCTAAAGTTGTACTCTCAATATAGAAAATTGAGACTGGATAAACAAGTCTTGACACCAAGACTTGACACTGAGTCTAACACATAGACTTGACACCAAGCTAAGATCACTACTTAGACTTGACGCTAAAACTTGAAATAGAGTCTTGAACTGAGACCACGACCAAAACTTAGACTTGTCGTTAAAACCCTATAGAAGATAAAAGAAAGGATTCTTCTAATCATCTGATCTAGTCTAATTATAGACTTACAAATACGAACGAATTCAAATAGAAAAACTATACAATGAAAAAAAAAATCCCCCTAAACAGGGGTCAAGATAATCCAACAAGAAAATGTCCAAGGCAAATGTTAAAGCTATTCAGTAACAAAACCCAAGGAGAAATTCAGGAGCTCTCAAGACATGTCTATCTGTACCAACGTACAAAACAATGGAGAGACTGTACTAGACGATAAATGACGCAAATTACACACACCTAAACTTTACTTCACTAGAAGTTGTGACAAGCAACAAAAGCTCAGTCCCCTAGTCTACAAAGTAAAATATTAATAGTGTAATGACGTCATCAATATAGTGATCAACGCCGCACTATCAATTAGAGAAATAATTCTACTATACAGTTACATAGATAACTGCGACATATATATATATATTGGCGATACTTAAAAAGCGGCAGAGATTCCTTATATTGTAATCAAAAATGTCTGTCTTATCCTGATTAGTCTCGTAACGCCACCATTGTATCGTTGTAATTTCTGAAAAACTATAGCCCATATGTTCTGGTCTTATTCTATTTAAATAAAGTACTTCAAAAAAGAAAAAAACGTCCTACCGTGATGATAGTTAAATATTTTCTTATAAAATACATAAGTTGCTTAAAAAAAGGAAGTTGCTTTTAGTCTTACACGTGTCCGTAGGTCAATCTAGTCATGCATGTTAATCAATGACTTCAATTATATTTATATAACAAAGGAATGCAGTAGTTCCCGTGGCAACGCATCCCCAGGTGCGGCCTACATATTTTTCCACTCACAGTGCAGACATAATCATTTTAAGCTAGAGGTAAATCTATATAGAGCTATCTGCTTTTTTAACTTTCATGTTATCTTTTATTGCGCTTGAATGAGTCCAATAGTCTTAGCTCATAGTTTAGTAGACATATAACTTTGAAATGAAACAAATTAGCATGTCTGTCTGTCTGTCTGGTACACGTTAATTCTCACACTTCCCATTCTTAGAGCAAGATGAAGCTTTGCAAAATTATTTGTCCCCTCTTACAAAACATAAATCAATCGTAAAACTTTCCAATAATTTTATCAATAAATCGTAGTTAGTTAATTTTGCTTTTATATAGACTACAATTCAAAGTATTCATCAGGTTAACAGTTGATAAAAGAAACAGGACCGTATCATCATCTGCCCTCTAGATCACAAGGTTTAAAAAGGGAACTTTACTTTAGAGTTTAGGTGCCACAATACTTATCACAGTTTGGTGCTAAACCAACCATGTATCCAAAGTTTGGTGCTACATTGCATATTAAGTGCTACATAACAAAACCAACAGTTGGGTGCTACAACACATAGCAGTGGTACTAAATCCCACATCAACAGTATAGTGCTACATATCTAAATTCGGTGTTACACTGTGTATCAACAGATTTAATGCTACATTACTTATCAAGAATTCGATGCTACATCCTGAATCAACAGTCTAGTGCTCCATTCTGTGTGGCTTTAAGAATCATAGACCTTGTTTTCATTGCTCTAATCTACATTTTCTTACAACAGTTTCTGAAAAGGATTATTTCCCCTTGTTAACGTGCCAATGTTTACATTGTCGTCTGCTGATTACAAACCGCAGACCGTGTCAGATGAGCTTGCTGCGTTACTGGCGTCAGAACTACTCAGGCGTAGCAGGAACCAGGCGAGCATCGCAGGCGATTAACCGCGCAGCCACGTGAACTTAAGTGTAAATAGTAAACACATTTGTTTCCCCTTAACGATTGAACCTAACCAATATTTGAATACCTTGCATAATTATTCAAAAAGAAATTAGATGGAAGGTAGTTGCTACTAGATCTAAATATTAATTACTCGCCCTGGAAAGTTAATTTAAGGTGAAATAATAATAATTATAATACTCTTTTTTATCCATATGGAAATTTGTCTTACAATGTGTACATTACACCAAACTAAACATGATAACTATAGAAAACCAAAATAAAGACTACATTCTGAATAGACTTACTCATAATTGACTTGTGAAAAGTTTATATCAGATGTTTATATTTTACTTAGTGATCTGACTGCCAGGAAGACACACACAAACACACACACAGAGTGAATTGAATGACTAAATGTAGTTTTCTCAAACTTTTTAAACTTCTTTGCTATGGATGTTTCTTTAGAAATGAAGATTTTAACGCCTTAATCAAATCTACTGTAGAAGACAGTGGGTATGGCTTAAAACCATAAAAACCACAGTCCAGACGTCATCCTTTCAAACATATCATCTTTTGGATTTACAAAATCAATAGAATCAATAGAATTGTTTCATTACAAACAAAATTTTTACAATACATTTTTTATTGATATTCATGTTGTTAACATTAAAACATTTCTGAAAAAAAAAAATCTTAGAAATATGAAATGTTTGATATATTAAATAACTGACGTAACAAGACATTAATGAAAAGAATCAAATCAAATGTAGTAACAAGAAAATACATTTTAAAACTAAGTCAGTGAAAGACTTTATTTTGATTACATGTGCTGAAATCTTATGTATAAGATAATTGTCACCTACTAAATAGTCATTGTACTATATATATAAATATTATTTATAACATATATAAATTATTTTCTTTTGCTACATATAATATATATATATATATATATATATATATATATATATATATTTATATATATATATATATATATATATATATATATATATATATATATATATATATATATATATATAGGAAGCCTACTAGACATGTAGAGCTGTTCAAAGCTTGAGTGGTAAACTATAAAAATGTCCCACCGAATTTTATTATGCTTGAGCATTTGTATATAAACAAAAATCTATTATGTGTGCTGCCAATATAATGATAATATAATGCCATTATATTTATTAAATAATTTGATTGTCTGCTGTTGCAATTTTTTGTTAGATCAAATAATTTAGCTTAATAAACGGGACCCACAAAACCATAGCTGGTGCAGAAACAGAAAAGATATGTTACAATGTAATATAAGCTTCATAATTCTCACAGAAAATTAAAGCTGTGCACTATTAAAGAGCTCTCTGCTTTACAGAAACAAATTAGGCTCCCCACATAAAGAGTTAACTCTTTCATTTATAAAAACAATAGCCTCTTTTCTTACATAAATCCAAACCTGCAAGAGTACAGAACCAGGCAGTACAGTCAATAGAGAATCAAGAAATCTTGTTTATATTTCAAACATCTCTTAAGCAAAAAAAAAAAAAAAAAACAACAACTGTAGAGTATTGTACCTTTGTTGGTTTCATGAAAAACCCTTAAAGTTTGAAATAAAACAAAAAACATTGACTGATCTAAAATAAGTATTCAATAACATCATTAAAGTTTCTGCTATAAAAAAATGTTTAGTCTACTGAAAGTAAGGTCATTATTTTCTGTGCTTACTTGCACAATGTGTGTGTGTGTCTGTGGGAGAGAACCTTTCCCCATAATTCATAAGCACTAACTATCAAGTGGTTGTAGGATCAATTCAAATTTAAAGGATGCAAATCTATAGTTAAAATATATATAGTACATTTATAGGGAGATTACGTTTTGTAACCTTACAATAGTTAGAGCAGTCATCCCCATAGATGTAGGTTATATAACAATGAATAAAACAACTCATATTAAGACTTAAATACAATAAGTATCTGATTCTTTGACTATTTCTAAGTCTACTTCCTGACTTAACACTATTAACTTTTCTTCTGACATTTACATGGTATCAAGATTCCTAGAAATATATAGAAATACTTGTCACTATTTATTTTTATTGGTTTTATGTTTGCAACTGGAAATAAAAAATGAAATGCATTGTATAAATATTAAGTATAATAATATATTTGGCAGTTAATATAAGCTGATGAAATGCAGCTTTTTACAGTATTCTAAAGTTGCAATTCCTAAAATGTATAAATATCCTTCAAAGTTTAACAGCAAAATTGATGTAAAATTTATCAAACAAATCGATATAGTATTGTATGTTGCTGAAGGATTAAGTCTAAAGTCCCAATGACATATATGTGTTATCATAGCTTCTAAAATCTCAGTTAAATGAAACAAACTAAAAAGATTGAGCTTCTAACATATACAGTAATTAAAAGTTAGTTATGATAAAATGTTATATTATTACTTTTAATTTTTTTATTATGATTGCTTAAATTTGAAAGTAAATTGAGAATGTCACCCAAAGAATTATTGTGATAAGAACTCACATTCCTTTTCCATATATTTTATATATTTTGTGAATTGTATCCCTAATATGCAATGCAACAGGTGTATATTATACAACTCTGTTCCAAATAAAAAAAACTAAACAGTTTTAACTTGGTTTGAGAGTTTAGGAATGTCTCATTTGAAAATTATGAGGATTAATGTCATGAATTGTTAAAAGTCATTTCATGTCAAATGTCATTGTGTCTGAATGGAATTCAAGAAATAGTTTTTAAATAAAATAAACTTCAACAATGTTCAAAATAATTAACAAGAATATTTGTTCACAACATGAAATGATACACCAGAACGCAATACACTGCTTCACACATCACAGGGTAAACTGTAGGCTTGGATAACAATATATAACAACAATGAATGGAAGAGCAAATGTTAAACCAGATACAGAGATTATGTCATGTAAATCAGTTTTGTTTTATCATCTGTTATAAATATCTTGTAACATAAGATCAGAAACCTTAAATGTGTTACATATTTTCATCATATGTATGAAATGTCTTTTATTGTGTGCCATAATCCATACATCCATGAAAATATTACTAGGTTTGCTAGGCCTTTTAACATAATGGACCAGTTCTTACTATTGAAACTCAAAGATAGGCCCACTATAATTATGTAAGACTTAGCTATTTTGAAATTATTATGGGATTTCTTCAAACCTTTTTTTAAATGCCAAAAAAAAATTAAAATTAAACAATATATCATACTACAATTGTTATATATAGTACAGGATAAGCCAATGCAAACTCAAACTGTGTGAATTTATATACAAAACTATAACCAAAAGTCCTTGCACCAAGCATTACACCTAACAATGAAAACCATCACCTTCAAGTTTTATATATTTGATTTAAACAATAATTTAAAAAACTATGGAAAATTTTTCTATAGAGCTATTAATAAGCTTTGGAAAAAGTTCTACTGTTATAAATGTAAATGTACAAATATAAAGGGTCCTATTTAATGTCCTTTATTTAATTTTTATTAGTTCCAAAAATACTGAAAATGTAAATGCTGCTAAAAAAATAAATAGAAATTAATGTCCTTCTATCATTTTCATTAAGAATACAGCATAATTAGACTTGTTCAAAAGCTTAAGTGTATGTTTCTACATAGCATCTCATCAAAATGGTGTTGTTCCATCTGAAGGTTTTACAGCGTCATGGGTGTGCTGGTTGTCAAATGTATTATAGTAAGAAGGAGGGGCATCATTGCTGGGAGAACCATCCGTGTCTGATTTCTCTGACACTGGGACCTCAGCAGTCTTCTCAAACTTGGCTGGGTCCTGGTAGGTGTAGTAGTGTGCCACAATGCAGAAGATGATGAAATCCAAGGCCATTAGTCCAGCTAGAAGAAACATCAGGTTCTCCATCTTGCAGTCATTTATCTCGTCTGCCCACCACGGATCTGTTTGGGTGGCGATGAAAGAGGTCAAGTTCAAGGAAAGACAAAAAGAAAGTTGACTTGATAAAATGAATGCCAATATATTCCAATTTTCAATTTCTGGAAATTATTGCAAATTATGTAAAAGAACCTGATAATTATATTCATGTTTAAATTAGCATGCTCTTATTGACAGATAGAGTCCTTAGTTGGTTCAAATATCACTTGTGATCAATAGGGCAGATAATTTAAAGGTCATCTGTTTATAGGGCAGATGGTCAATGAGAGTGTCAAGTCGCTAGCATTAAGACCAATGGCCTCTCACTTTCCCTTACTAATGTCATTAGAGTTGGATGGAATCAGGGTTGTCCTAAAAATCCTGAAACTCAAAATCACAGTCAAGAAAGAGATTCGAATCAGGGTCCCCTAGGTTTGGAAGCCAAGCACTAACCACTCTTCAACAAAGCTTCTAGTGGTTTTAAAAAAAATGATAAGAAATAAAAAAAAAATATTTTCTATATTAAGCTAGAATAAATTTGGCTAGAATATTGTAAATCAAAAAATTTTAATGCAGTAAAACTCTATTGAAGGAAAATGTCATTAATATTACTGTCTTAAGGACTTTTTTTTTCTAACCTCCTTCAGTTGCACTTTCCACGATAGCCAGGATAGCAGTCGAGACCCAGTTTCCAACGCCAGAAGCTGCCAGGAAAAGTCCAGTCAGCAGACCCTGCATGGCAACTGGTGCTTGATTATAGGCAAACTCCAGAGCTGTGGGTTGAATTAAAAAAAAAAAGAATTTGTTATTGCTATAGCTAGAATTCAGTTAGAAGACACATAAAGCTAATAAGTTAAGTAGCATAAATAGGTTTAGATATGCATCCTTTGTTTGGGACCCCTCAACTCAAGAAAACATTTTTTTTAGAAAAAAAAAACGTTTGCATAAAGATTTTTAAAATATAGGCTACAAGGTAATTGTAAACTTTAGTAAGTTTTTTACTATTAAAAGTGAATAGTTGTAAAAAGGATATATACTTATGAAAACACTGCTTGCAATTAATTTAAAAATTAAATAATTTAGTTTTTAGAAAAGGAAAAAAGTAGCTGTTGCTTCAGAACTTTGAAAAGTGAAAAATATTTTGATGTAAGATTTTTGATATTTTTTATAGCTTCTAAGATCTAAACAAGACGGACAGACCACAAAAAAAATAATAACATTTTAAAAAGCAAAATTTATAATATACTGTGTATAAAAAAAATATTAAAATAAGAATAGTCTACATTTATATTAATAAGTTTGACTCACTAGTGATACTGGTGAATATTTCACTGGCTCCAACTAAAGCAAATTGTGGGATTTGAACAAAAACAGACATGGTAGAGGCGCTGAAGTTCTGGCCACCCAGGCTTTGGACGAGTGGATTGGCTCTGTCAAGGTACTCCTTTCTGCTTATCTCCACGATACCTGCTACGATCATGCTTATAGTGGCAAAAATAAAACCAATACCTGTGGACGTTTAGAAATATTTTATATATTAAGTCAAAGCTTATACATAATAGAAATTGAGTTTTTTTGCTTATAATCCATAATTGTTAGTAAAATAAACTGCAACTTGATTTAATTCTATGACCTATACCTATTCGTTTTAAGTAGGTCAAAGGTTTTCCCATTTTGTTGAAGCAGGGGTAGATAAGCCTGTCTACGATGGGTATCATGATAATGATGGCTACAGTATTGAAGACGTTCAGTGCTGCTGCTGGGACATTAACGCCGCCTCCCATACTGACGTCCATCCTCTCGGACTGGGCAAAGAATGTGTTGGACATCTGAGATGCAAAACAAGTAAAGTAAAAAGACCAAAATAATTAAAAAGTGTAAAGATTCAAATACCAACTATGTTGAAAATAATGTCAAGGATTTTTATGGCAGGATTAGGATTTAATTATCTATTGCACAAAAAAGGGAAAGACAATGACGCGACTTATTAAAACTAGACTAGGACTTTAGGAAGAAGAGCAAAATGTAAACAGGCTACTTCTGAAGGCTTTGGAGAGAGGTAGTTTTATGGATGTAGAGATTTAGCGTGACGACATTCAATGGTTCCCCTCATTATTATTAAACTTCTTGTTGAACATTCGCTCTCAGCGTCGACAAATTTATATTGTTGGCCTTTCGCCTGTGTTATTGGATTTTGTTATTTGAATGTTACCCCCCTTTGACTTATCTGCATAAGACAGCGCGGAAGCGACTAGGAAGATAAAGTTAAATAAAAAGCAGCTGCTTTCCAAAATTGGATTTGAAATTAGGAATTATTCTGATTAGATTTATGATTGACTATGTTGTAGCAAGATATTTAACATTTTTAAAAAAATTTTTGCTTTGCTGAAATAAATTATTAGATTTGTGATAATCGGACTACAATGTTCTAAAACCAAAATGCAATATAGAAAAACATCTAAGGTAACTAGATGAAAGAGCCTGGTTTTACCTTTACAAACACTAATTTTTCTAGTTTAGCAGTAGAAAATGTGCAATTTGAAGAGAGCTATCACTCTTTTAGTCTATTTTTAGATTGTCATTAAATATTAAACAAAATATGAAAACTATAAATAATCT